CCCGCCTACCTACCTACCTACATACATACCTACTTACTTGCTTATTTAGCCATAGGGCATGTTGCTGGAGAGACAGAGGGGGAAAGTAGTGAGAAACCACACCTGGGGGGGCGGCCACTTCAGTTTCGTCTCCTCCATTCTCCTTTTGGAATTTTGGGCATGTATCCACAGGTGCCGGCATAATTTTCATGTCACTGAGTCTGGGACTGGAACTGCACAGTCGGCCTTGTAGGATCCAGTGCCTTAACCACCATGCCACAGGCTGGCCCAAATCAGTTTTTGAAAAAGTGAGGGGTAGAGAGGCCTGGGACTGGATGAGGTTGCGGAGCCACGGTTCCTCGGGTCCATTCCTGGGCCCCCACACAGGCCTGGGGTCTCACCTGCTCGTTGGCTCTGAGGTCACAGCTCTCCTCTGCCTGTGTCAGGGCTGTGAAGACCGTGACAAGGGGGCCCTGGCCTCTCTGTGGAGGGTGAAAGCTCAGGATGCCCCGGCCTCCCTCCGTCAAGGAGAGGCAGCACGGGGTGGTCCAACTCTCTAGCCACTCCTTGCCTCGTTTCCTCATCTGTAGAATGGAGCTTCAATTAGCATCTTTCTCGTAGAGCTTTGATAATACTTAAAGTAGTATGTGTAGTAGGTGGTCTTTATTACATAAAATGGAAGGTCCATGAAACTTTGAATGGTATTTTCACACTTGTCTGAATAGAAAAATTAGGACGTGATAAAGTTCTATTAATAGATAGTCACTATCAATCAGTGCCTCCCTTACGTGGACCTCGGAAGTCCTTTTACCTACAGGTTGGATTTTTAAATGATTACTTATCAATTTTGTTATTTATTACTATTTTTTGCTATAAGGCACACGCACTCATCAGAGGGAAACAGAGTGGGAAAGTAAGCCACCAGGTTCGGGACTCACACTGTAGGAATCCAGCACCTTAACCCCCACACCACCTGCTGGTCCCACCTACAAGGTGGCGTTTTAAGGAAGCAATCGCTGCAGAGATAAACTCCCCAGTCACTGGATACAAATGAGCAGGTGGCCCAAGTCCCGGCTTCTCCAGCTGTCTGGGGGAAGGACTGGCTTCTGTATCCCCAGCCCATCACAAATGGGTACTTGGGCATGCGAGCAGGGTGTGGGGGTGGACCCAGCCACTCCGGGGGTTTCTGGATGCTCACTCCCCTCTCTGCACTTACCTTCTTATGAACACTTGTCTATGACCCACAAAGTGCTGACCTAGGCTGGTCTGGGGTGGACTGGTCCCAGTTTGTTCCAGAATCTTCTATGAGCTCATTCTGCACATTCAACTAGAACTACAGAGTCTAGTCACAGACTCGCAGAGCAGGGCCGGGGCGGGGGTGGGGTTGGATTGATGAGGCCATTGCCCAGCCCTATCCCTTGAAATGGTCTTGGACGTTTGGTTCTGAGTTGTCCCGTGTGCTGGGGAAGCTGACCCTGCGTGTATATGGGCTTAGGGCTGCAAAGCTTCAGGAGTGCTGCCTCAGTTTTCTCCGAGGGCCCCCTGTGACTGCTCCACTCCAGGCTACCTGGTGCCCATGGCCCCCAGGGGCTGCAATGTGTTCCTCCCATCCCGAAGACCCCTTGCTCCCACCCGTCCAGACCGGCCATCCTGCCTGGGGTGATTTTGTCCCAGGAAGCCCACAGCCTTGGCCCCTGGCCCGGCAGGTGTGCTGCGGCAAGGTGCCTCCTCCTCAGTGAGCAAACCCCGGGGTGTATGTTTGGGCCAAGAAGAAAAAGAGAAGGTGTTCAGGGATGCTGAGCAGGCCCGGGCCCCTCAGGGACGCCACCTCCTCCTGGTCGGCATGTCCACACGTCCCAGCCTGCCTCTGGCCTGCGTCCCAGCCTTACCTCACTGCAGGGTCAGCCCTGCAGTGGAGGCTCAGAAGAGCTCACCGAGCTGCTTTCCTGTCTTCTCCACAGGCACCAGACCCCTGGGGACTGGCGGTCTCACCAGCAGAGAGTCCTCTGTCCTGGATGACACAGACACCCGGGCAGGGGATGACGAGGAGGCTTTCGACTTCTTTGAGCAGCAGGACCGAGTGGCGGTTGCGGGGCCGCCCATCCTGAGCCCAGAAGGAGAGGACGCAGAGAAGCCTTTGGAAGAGGAGGAAGAGGAGGAGGAGGTTTTGGATCCACTGGGCATCATGCGGTAGGTCAGGAGGCCCTGGCTTTTTCCAGACTTTCTGGAGACACCCCTCCTCCCAGAAGTCTGAGCCTGCCTGGGTCACCATGCATAGGGGTCTGGGCCCCGAGGCCTTGGCCCGCCTGCTCAGGGGCTGGCTGGCCATGCCCTCCTCATTGCCTGCATCTCTGGCCCTCCCTGGCCACCATGTCCCCCAGGCTGTGCACTGTGGCCCAGTAGCACTGCCCCACAGCAGCCCTGGGCCCCCAGCTGATACAGAGTCTGGGTGTCCTCATACCGCGTGACCTACGGTCGTGGCTACAGCCCTCTGGGCCGGATGTGCGGTCTGAAGCAGGAGTGCTCCCCCGGGCCCTGCCCCCACCGGGCAGGAACCTGGGACCCAAAGGTGCTGACCGCTGTGATGTGAGGAGGTGGGTGAGCTGGGTGCCCTGGCAAGTGGGCCACATCACCTCCATGTGACTGGAGAAGGGGCAAGCCAGCTGTGGTGTGACGGGCCCTTCCAGATGACATGCTGCTTCTCCCTTCTCCTCATCCTTCTCCCTTCCCCACCCTCTGCCTTCAGCCAATCAGTGAGTTCCACTGAGCCCCCACTGTGGGACCACCCTGCAGGTGAGGTCTGGACACAGGCCAGAGGCAGACTGGGCTGTTTGGACAGGACATCTTGACCAAAAGAGATGGCGTCCCTGAGGGGCCTGGGCCTGCTCATCCTTCCTGAACTCCCTCGTTTTCTTCTTGGCCCAAACACAATGGAAGGAATGGACCGCCTTGACCCAGACAGGGTCATCAGGAGCAGCAGGGTGATGTCGGGAGAAGCCAGGAATAGCCACCCCTTATCAGCCTTGCCCGCTGTGGCCATCCCTCCTTGAGCTTTGCTTGGTGAGGATCCAGCTTTGTTGAACTCGCACTCAGTTCTGGGTAACCACACATAGCGCCAGACTCAGATGGACTCCGTGGTGCATGCCAGCCTTTGGCCGAAGGGTATGCTTAGCAGAGTGGCTCCTTTTTTGGGTAGGAAAATGCTCTTTGGGGTTGGCAATGCTGCCTCAAATTTCCTGCTCACTGCAGTAGCAGATGACCCAGCTCCCCAACCTGAATCCTAGCAAAGCTGAGCACTTCAAGGAATCCCAGAGACTTAAGACCCTCTCCTACCAGTTTTTTTTTTACGGACTGGAGTGGCAACAGCCAGTGTGCTCACCTCCATCAGGAATGATAATATTTTTTGAGAGCTTGTTAAATACCAGCAACAAGTTAGCATTTGCATGAATCATCTCCTTTTATCTTTAAGAAGGTACTTTTCAAACTTGTTTGCTGTGACTCACAGTAAAAAAAATCACATTGTATGTGAGCACAGTGTGCACGTACCCTGTAAAAGTGAAACGGACATCTCGAAGTTTACCGAGTGTACAGCTTACCGAGTGTATTGCACTCTAGTATTTTCTACTCTGTTTCGTTTTTTCTAAAAAGTTAGGATGCACCAAACTGCTTTGGGGGTCCATTCTGGTAGGTTTGGGGAATGGAGATGCTGGAGGCTGCTGTCCGCGCCCAGCTCATGTCAAAGTTGCCTGGCTCCTCCACCTTCCCGCAGCTGCAAATGACAGAGCCAGCTCGAGGCCATCTCCCGGCTTCTTTTGGCAATGGGGGGTGGGCAGGCACTTTGATTGTCTCCCTTTAACCATGGAGGAATGAGAACATGTTGCGTAGGAAGGGTGGTGGCCTGAGCCTGGTGTGTGGCAGAGCCACACTTTGAAGTTGGGTATCCCCTCGACCCCCTGACAGCCTCGTTCAGTGTCCCCACCGCATGCTTTGGTGGAGAATGCATTGTTCTGCACAGGCGCTGATGTTCTGCACGCATCTCAGTCCATCCCGTGCCCTCACGTCCTCTGCTGACAGGGCAGCCTTGGTTTTCCAGCGGTGCCTACACCCGACTCCCAGGGCCCCATCAGGGGACTTGGGCTTTCCTGTTGCAGCCACCATGTCCTTGTGACGGGCCTCGGTCTCTGCCTGCCGTGGCCACGGTGGGGCGCTGTTGCTCCACTGCAGGACTGCCCGGAAGGCTGGGTGCTGCCAGCACAAAGCCCCAGCCCAGGCTGGCCTGGCTTCCTTTGTCTTTTAAACCTGGTTTTGCTGGGGGGCGGCAGCGTTGTCACACCATTAGAGAATGTTCCGAGGTACAAAAACCCTCACCTCTGCCAGCCTTCCAGTGCCACCCTCCTTGTTTGCTGGGGTGGGCGTCTACCCATCCCTGCAGGATCCCGATCCAGTAACTGCAGACATAGCGTTTGCTTTTTTACACTCCCGCGATGACCGCTTACGATCGTCGCCCTCCAGGTGGCCTCTCTGGGCCATAGTCTTCCTGTTTAACTTTATGTTTAGACACTTAACAGTTCTCAGACAATTGTTCTACCATTCTGCCTTCTATTGGAACTACTCTGCCAGGAACAGTTTTCACTATGACTCAAATAAGGTATAACGAGTGTAAAACACAGAAAACACAGGTGAAGTCCTTCCCCCTGGACGGCGTGCAGTGTCGAGTGCTCACTTCTTAGACAGGATGGGATGCGTTCAGGGGCCTTGCTTAATTTGCTTACCTGTGGCTTATTCGCTGGGTCTCTCCAGATCAACAAATGCACCTCTCCCTTCACACTCTTGGTGGGCCCCTCAGGTCAGCGTGCTGTAGGGGACGAAGCAGGACCCTGCTGTGGACACTGGTGTTTTCATAGTTTTTGTCTGTCACAGGCAGTAACTCAGGAACTTTTACCTACACAGAGCTTTTCCCCTTTCAGCTTTTCCCCCACAGAAGAGGTCCCTGCAGCCTCTGCCAGGCTTGTAGCACCCCAGTACAGGCTCTTTGAGGCTGAGCCACTCGGTTGGGAGGGCCTTCTGCAAAGCCTGCCCATCACAAGCCTGCCACCTCCCCTCCCTTCCCCTGGCCTGCTTCCCCCAGGTCCCTGAGGACACTCAGCTTCCCAGGGGACAGGCTGGCTCCTGTGTGAACATGCTTGCCTGCGAGGCTGGGCCTGCCAGACACCTTCCACAGGGTGTCCCGTGCCATGGCCTTGAATGAGAGAGTTCAGTAGTCCTTAGGAATATTGTGGGGGATTCTGGAATGCTTTAATTCATATGTATATACATATATGTAAAAAATGCTTTTTTCCAGTTGTAATTTTAACATAGATTGTGGTTCATTTTCTGTAAAATAACCCCATGGGTTTTAGTATGTAAATAATATTTTGCTGTCTCTATTTGGATCCAGTCACTGCTCTGGGATCGTTCTGTGGTTTCAAATGCTCTGGGCCCGCCAGCAGGTCCCCCCAGAATTTGCTAACTGAGGTGTAAAAGTGAGGCAGACCCCAAGGTGAGCCATGGTGGGAAGCCCCGTGTAGCAGCACGGCCTCAGCTCTGCCTGTCTGTCCCTAGGAGGAAGGGGCAGGGCCCTCAAATCCCAGCTCTGCCACTTATGGCGGGTGAGCCCTGGGCACTGGGCAGGTGGCTGAAATTCGGCCCACCACGGAGCATAGCAGATGCTCAGGGTCCCGAGGCCTGGGCCAGCCCAGGACCTGTTCTGAGGAGCCACTGAGGCGTTATGCAAGGCTGTGCTTGAAAAGCCCCAGAATCCAGATCCTGTTCAAGTCTTGGAGTTGCCCGAGGAGAATAGGCAGGGTCAGCGGTCACTAGTCTGCTGCCCATAGGACATACCAAGGACAAGCATACGCAGGAGGCGCCATCTTTACTCTGCCCCACGCGACCCTGCTCAAACCTTGGGTTTCCCTCTCCCCTACTCTGGCTAGAGGAGTTCCCTGGTGAGCCATCTTAAGTCGACTTATTTATCTCTGCCCTGAGGCCTGGCGGGGCTGGCCAGGCCTCACCTCACCCTGCACCTCCCTGGCACTTAGCCTGGACCTGGCCCAGGACCCACTGCAATAAGGAAAGAGTAGGCAAGTGGCAGGGCCAGCCTCAGGCGAGCCTCGGGCTGTTACAGTGAT